ATTTATATATCTTCAAACAGCCTTGTTGTATGAGGACATTAAGCACTGGACATCGAGGACATTATGCACTGGACAGCAAGGACATTATGCACTGGGCTGCGAGGACATTATGCACTAGGGCAGAATGCAGCGAGGTCTTTATGAACTAAACCTGCAAAACAAAACACCGTGAAGGACAGCGGAGTCGCCGGAGCTGTCCTTAAGGTAGTAGTGCCCGCCTACCGTACCGGAAAAACGTGGGCACTCTCCTCCCAGGATAAAACCGCTATCGTGTGTGGAGATGTACGGACCAACCACACACCAACGAACAAAAATAACCGCTATCGTGTGTGGAATCACATTTTTCTGGATAGTTTTTTCCCTCCAACCAAACACACCCATAGCTTAAAATTTTTACATGTTAGCTATTACTCTAGGATCTTAAAATCTGTATAACGATCCCCAATTCATGATCTTCCGCCTTCGTGATCCTAGCTTGGATCTCGCAATTAACAAGCTTTTGTGTATGTGTGGACGTGTGGTCCACAAAAGCTATGTGTTCCGTGTAAATTTTATGCGGCAATATTCTTCATAATATGTAGGAAACAACAATTGATGTTATAACTGACATAAAAAACAAAAGATATACAAAGATGCACTGCAATACTCAATGATATGGAGTAGTTTATTGATTTTGGAAATGCATGTTGCTTGTTTTCATCAAATTTCTTTCAGCAAAATTTGGTTGGATGAAATCATGGATGTGGGTGTGTGTGTGTGTGTATATATATATCTATGTATGTATGTATATATATATATGTGTGTGTGTGTGTGTGTGTGTATATATATATATTTAAAAAAAGGATTTTATTAAAGGAAAAGGAGAAAGAGGATACAAGTGGCCCCGAAGGGTAATACAAGAGGAAAACAACCAGCTTATACAAAGGATTTAGATAAGATTCTACGACCATTTCGCCAAAAGGAATCTAATCCCATGCCTTTGAAGTCTTCATCATGAGCCATCCATTTTTTGTTCCTGTTTATCCATGCCCAAGCTTGGAGAGTTTTGAGGCATGTTTTAATAATACCCTCCACTGTTGGTTTAGCTGCGTTATGAATATAAGAGTTACGTGCCTTCCACAAGGACCAAGTGCAGAGGCCTGGGGAGAAGAGACGTAGGTTACCTCTGAAGTGTTTGGTGTTGCTACCAAACCACCATGCAAGAAGATGTTGACGTAATGTGGTGTTCTCCTTAACCCTTGGGCCGTTGGAAATGGAGGCCATGAAGTTTCATACCTCTTTTGCAGTTGGACAGTGGAGCATGGAGTCATCAATGTCATCGTTATCTTTATGGCAAAGAGGACAGAAACTGGGAAGGGCTGCCATGAAACGACATAGGTTTTTAGGGAAAGGAAGGGCACTGTTTAGGAGTCTCCACAAGAAGATCTTGATTTTTGGGATGTTTGAGCTGTGCCAAATGTATTTACAGGATAAAATGTTTGTCCCACTTCCCTGGACCATGTTGAAAGCACTCTTGAGGCTGAAGTTTCCTCCTTCCCAAAGCAAGCCTGAACTAGTAGTGGTGGTATGGGATGTTGCCAGATCATTAGATCTGCAAATCCTTTTCCATGTTGGAGAGTCAGTGATCCTTTCCTTCATGATTCCTGTTTTCATATACCTGGCTCTCACATAGGGCCCCCATATCCCAATGTCAATTCTTGCCTTCCACCAAAGTTTAAGGGTGTATGCTTGTTGTAGGTCCTTTAAGCTTTTGATCCCCAGCCCTCCCTCTACCTCAGGTTTTGTTATTTGTGCCCATCTAACCCAGTGGTGTTTATGGGATCCTTCCTTTTGTCCCCACAAAAAGTTGGTCATGTATCTGTTGAGGGTGTGGATGATTGATTTGGGAATGGTGTGGATAGCAAGGGTATGTAATGGGATTGAAGATAGAAAATGTTTTATTAGTATAAGTCTACCCATCTGGTTGAGAGTCTTGCTGTACCAAGAGTGAATAAGTTTTTCAAAATGTCCCAAGATATCTTTGCAGTGCTCTTTTCTCATAATCCCTTTACAGATAGGAGCTCCCAGATAGGTAAAAGGTAGGTTCCCTCTTTTGATTCCTAGAGCCTTCTCCATGTGTTGATTTTGGGAGCTGGTTGTGTGCTTTGATGTGTAGAATCTGCTCTTGTTAAGGTTGATCTCTTGCCCAGTAGCCTTGAGGTATATATCTAGAGTGACCTTGAGTTTGAGCAGATTTCTATTGTCTCCCCTGGAAAAGATTATAATGTCATNTTACAGATAGGAGCTCCCAGATAGGTAAAAGGTAGGTTCCCTCTTTTGATTCCTAGAGCCTTCTCCATGTGTTGATTTTGGGAGCTGGTTGTGTGCTTTGATGTGTAGAATCTGCTCTTGTTAAGGTTGATCTCTTGCCCAGTAGCCTTGAGGTATATATCTAGAGTGACCTTGAGTTTGAGCAGATTTCTATTGTCTCCCCTGGAAAAGATTATAATGTCATCAGCATAAATAAGGTGGGAGGGAAATAGGACCTGGCCTGAGTTGAATCTGAGCAGGTGGTTAGTGTCCATCTGCATATTGATGATTCTACTAAAACCTTCTGCTGCTAGGATGAAAAGAAGGGGTGAGAGTGGATCTCCTTGTTTTACCCCTCTCTCCATTTTGAAAAATCCTGATGGCTCTCCATTGATGAGTATACTGAAGAAGGTCCCTTTTAAGTTGGCCATTAAGAGGGAAGTTGATAGACTGTTGAATCCAAATCTCAAAAGTAGGGCCTCTAAGTATTTCCAGTCAAGTTTATCAAAAGCTTTTTCCATGTCCAATTTGATGATTAGATTACCTCCATACACTTTTTTATCCAAAAGGTGAACTGCCTCCTGTGCCATGAGGATGTGATCATCAATTGATTTTCCCTTTTGAAATGCTGCTTGCTCCTTGGAGATCAGTTTGGGTAGGAGGGTGTTTAGCCTGTTGGCCAGGATTTTTGTATTAATCTTGCTCATGAATGTGGACAGGGAGATTGGTCTATAATCCTCAAATCTCTTTGGGTTTTCTGTTTTAGGAATGAGGGTTAGAAAGGTGCTTCCATAAGCTTTTGGAATATGTTGCCCCATGAAGAAATCTTGAGAAGCTATCAAAACATCCTGCTTAATTGTCTCCCAAGCAGATTTGAAAAAGTTTCCATTGAAACCATCAGGCCCTCCAGCGCTGTTCCCATCCAAATCCCAGACTGCCTTTTGGACCTCTTCCATGGAAGGGGTGGCACAAAAAAAGGTGTTGTCTTCTACTGTAATAATCTGTGGGATAAGAGAGATAATTGGATCATAAGAGGGGAGTGAGATTTCCTGAAAGTATTTTCAAAGTAGGATATGGCTTTAGCTTTGATTTCTGTGAGATTTGTTGTGCCTGTGCCATTGGGTTTGATGATGTGAGATATTGAGAGTTTCTTTCTCTTCCCCTTGGCATATGCTTGAAAAATTTTGGAATTGGAGTCTCCCTTTTCTAACCACTTGATGTTTGCCTTCTGTTTCCAGTATTGTACCTCCAACTTGGTTGCAATAATGAGCTCAGCATTGGCTTTCTGCATTCTTTCCCTATTTTCTTGGGTTGGATTAGCCTCGTATTCAGTTTCTGTTTGAGAAGAAAGTTCCTCTGCAGATTGAAGTTTGGAGAAAATGTTTCCAAAAACTTCCTGATTCCAAATTTTAAGTGCTGCTTTAAGGCTAATGAGTTTATTTGCCAGACCTCTCATACCTCCTGTAGTTGGCAGATTTTCCCAAGTGTGTTTTACCATGGAATGAAAGGAGTCATGTAGTGTCCAGGCATTCAGGAATCTAAAAGGTTTTATGGTCAGAGGTGGATTTGGACAAATGCTTGAGGGAGACTTCATCATAAAAGGCAAGGAGTGGAATCTTAGCCAGAACTCTGTCCAGTCTTCTCCAAGTTCTACCTTGGCTTCTAACACCAGACCAAGTGTATAAACCACCTATAGGGTCAATGGAGACTAGTTTGCATTGAGAGATGCATTCTGAGAAATCCTCCATACCTTGAGAGCTAGGGGTGCATTTACCTTTGAACTCAGAGAGAGAGGCTATTGTGTTAAAATCCCCCCTATAATCCATTGGTGAGTGATATTGCTCTTGTCTTGGAGGTTATCCCAAAGCTCTCTTCTTTCAAGGACTGTATGGGCTGCATAGACAGATGAGATGAGAAGAGGGGTTTGGCTTTCTGTTTGGTGAAAGAAACCGTGGGAAACTTGGCTGTGATCTTGGAAGGAAGAGAGTGAGAGGTGGCTGTCATCCCAAAAAATCCATCTCTTATTATTTGTGGAGCTGATGGCATTTGAGAAACCAAAATGGAGCCTGAAGGTATCTAACTGACTAGCATTATTTATGGGTTCAATGATGCAAAGAAAATGAAGGTTGTGCTTCCTCTTTAGGAAAATGAGCCTGCTGAGGGAGGAGCTTACCCCACAGGCATTCCAAAACAGAAGCTTCATGAAGGAAGGTTGGGAGGTACATCCTTTCTAGTTTTGCTCCTTGTGGCATAGCCAGTAAAATGTTCAGGCCTTTGTAAAGGCATTGAGACTTTAGAGCAAAGCGAGATGTCCACCTGATGAGGAGTGATGGGGGTTTCCTGTGCAATAACAGGACCTCCATCAGAGTGGTAACCAACAGGTGAAATGATTTCATCCTCTTCATCCTCAGGTTCCCAGGAGATGGGGGAGATATGCAGGTCATCTTTACTTCCTGATAAAGGGGGCTGGCACTGTGTTGGCTTGAAGGGAATTATTTCCATGCACTGGTTCTGAACAGAGGGGTAAAGAAAGGAGAGATCTGGAGGGAAGGTGAAAGGGGGTGAGTGGGGTCCAAGGGTTTTAGTGGAGGTAAAAGGGTAATTTTTGGGGCTGGAAAAAGAGGAGGGCTCCTGAAGAGGGGAATCTGAGGCTGGGGTGTCTGCCACCGAGGGTAGGGGTTGGGAGCAAACATCCAAGGAGGTAGTGGGTTGTTCAGTGCCAGAAGATGATTTGGATTGAGGTATTTGTGGAGGATTGAAAAGGACTGGGTTTTGGAGATGCTTACCAGGGGTGGGGGCCTTACGCCTCAAATCATGACTGGGTTTTGGAACCTTCCTCATGACCATTTTCCATTCTTGCTTTGAACCTCCCGCTCCTGAGGGCCCCAACAATTCTGCCTGAGATGAGAGTTTCCGGCAATGGGAAAGCTGGTGACCAAACCTTAGGCATTTTGAACAGAAAGGGGGATGATCTTCATATGAGCAAGGTAGCCATAGGTCTCTTGTGCCAAGTCTAAGATGAATCTTAGGAGGTTTGGAAATGGAAACATCCATTTCTACACAGACTTTAGCACTGCCCGGATAGATTCCCATGGCTGTTTTCCTGCCCAGTTTTAGTGGCTTTCCCAGTGCTGAAGCTATGGAGTATAGAGGAATTTGATCACTAAGATGTAAAGGAATGTTTTTGATTTCTACCCATACTGGAATAACTGGACAGTCTTTGAAGGGTGAGTAATCAACAGACCATTTGCAAAGGGTGATTGTTGAGGATTTTATGTTCCATTTGCGCTGGTGAAACCATCTTAGGTAATCTTCCTCCCTTTTGAAAATGAAGAGAATCTCTTGTGATTTCAGTCTTCTAAGTTTGAACTCCTTAAATCCCCCCTTAATGAGGAACTCTTCAACGTCTTGCATGTGGATGACCTTGCTGCACTTTCCAATGACTGCATGACTGAAGTTGCCGGCCAGGCGTGACTCTTCTTCTGTCGTGAACTGGACTGAGGGGGCTGCTCGATACAGACCACAGAGCTTACCGGGGATACACACCTCATCACCCTTGAAGAGGTCGGAGAAGAGGGTTTTGCCGCCTAGGGAGTGGTGTGAGGATATGGCCGCCGGTGGTTGGCCAGTCGCCGGAAAAGTAGAGAGAGAAACTGCCATCCTCCTCCATATATATATATATATATATATATATATATATATATATATATATATATATATATATATATATATATATATATATATATATATATATATATATATATATATATATATATATATATCGGTTCGGTTCCTGTGACACCGAAAAACGGTGCCACTGAGTTTTTGGGGCACCTCCGGTGCTCCGTTCGTAAAATTGACGGTTCC